TTATGCATTCATAAAATTAAATGAATTTGAGAAAAAACTAAGAAGATTGATAGTTTAGGTTTTAAACTTTGACATTCAAACAGTTGTACCATATATGGTATAGTTGTAATTACAGCTAAGAAATTAAAAAGTAATATTGTAAAAATTAAAAGAATTGGAGGTATGAATATAGCTCTAAATATTAATTTTGATGCTAAAATTTTTAATGTTATAAATTTTTATGCTCCCCATACAGCTTTGAATATATGTTCAAAAATTTTTTTTGGAATAACTTAGAAAAATAAATACAAAGGATATCTCTTAAAGAAATTTTTTATTGGATGAGATTTAAATGAACATGTGAGTAAAGTAATAAAATATTTTTAAAATATTTATGATTGTTACATATTTGAAGTGATTAATGAAGAAAATAAATTGATATTGAATTTCGCTTAAACTTAGAATTTTGTTATTGTTAATACTTTATTTAAAAAGAAAAAAATGCATATTATCACTTATAAAGATGGATCTAATAAAACAAAAATTATTATTTTATTATGAAAAAAATAAATTGACGAGATTGTAACTAACGTAAAGTTATTCTAAGTAAAAATTTAAGTATTTAACACTGATTATTGATTTTTGATTTTAAGTTGAAGGATTGGAAAATGAAAAAAATAACGAACTATTGTTATATAATCCAAGGGAGCACTTAAAAAACAAACACAAAATTATTTTTGTGTGTAAAACTTCAAGATCTTAAAATTTAGGATATTCATGGAGAAACTAATACTATAGGAGATAAAATAATAAGTACTTTTAAGAGAGTTGCAAAAGTTATGAGAGATTAACTTAACATTAGTTACGAGTTGATACAAAAATTTCTCAAAATCAATATAAATTCATGTCGGACAAGCTTATTATGAAAGCTATATATTTATTGAGAGGTTAGATGGAGAAGTGCAGAGAGAATTAGAAGATCTACATATGATTTTTATTGATTTCAAAAAAGCTTAGGATAAGATTCCAAGAGAAGTACATTGGAGAGTCTTAAAAAAAATGTATTGATATAGCTTATACTCAGTCATTAAAGATTATGTCGAGTTGTTGCTTGTGTTCAAACATAAGAAGAATTTACCATGTACTTTTTTATTTTAGTTGCATTACATCAACGATCAGCTTTAAGATCATATCTTTTTCTTTTAGTAATGGATGTTCATACTGAAGATTTACAGGAGGATATACCTTCGTGTATGTCTTTCACATTTGATATCCTCTTTATTGATAAAACTAGAGAGAGTTTAAGAAAAACATTTATTATGATCGTTAACTTTAGAGACTAAAGACCTTCATTTTAGTAGATCTTAAATTATATACACATAATGTAATTTTAATAGCAGTAGATATGGTGGTGAGGTCGTAACTAAGGGTGATCAAATCATTAAAATGAGTAAACATTTTAGATATCTCGAGTTGACTTTTTAACGTGGTGACATAGAATGGGATGTTATTAAACATTTTAGATATCTCGAGTTGACTTTTTAACGCGGTGACATAGAATGGGATGTTATTAGTAGAAATGAGTAAACATTTTAGATATCTCGAGTTGACTTTTTAACGTGGTGACATAGAATGGGATGTTATTTCATGTTGTATGTTCAAAGTGAAGGAATACATCGGGCCTATTGGGCGTTAAAAAAGTACCACTTAGACTTGAAAAGGAAAATTTTATAAGATCGTGGTGGGACTAACAATGTTTTATGATGCAAGACTTTGGTCTATGAAATGAAAGAATAAAATTAAGTGTTGTTGAGATAAGAATGTTCATGTGAAACAAATATATCTATCAAAGGGTTGGAGTAGCTCCAATGGCTGACAAGATTAGAGAGAGTCGCCTTAGATGATTTGGTCACATTAAAAATTGAACATCTGCTAACCCACTTTAGATAGTAGATGTTTTAGATTCCACTTATGTTAAGAAAAGCAAAGATAGATCTAAAAAGATTTCGGACAGTTGTATAAAAAATGATCTTAATTTATTAAAATTAAATGAAAAAATTCACACTCAAAAGAACACAAAAAAGAAAAAAATATTCATATAGGCAGCCCGACTTAGTGGGATCAAGACTTGTTGTTGTTGTATCACAATCTCAACATCACAATTACGTACAACTGCTCAAAGTATCTACTTAATGAAATTATCTACTCCTACTAAAATATATTGATTCTCAAATGATGGAATAAATAGTTTTATAAAGCCCATTTTCCAAACATAAAAATGTTTAGTTACAAAAAATAGTTTAAGAACATTTCATTTTTTTCTAGATATATTTCCTACACTTTCACACCTATGACACTTCCTAACATAAAATTTAACATCCTTAAATAGGATAGGTCATTAGAATCTAAATAATAAAACTTTAGGTAAGATTTTGTCTTCCAAAATGCCATCCATAATTTGATTCATGACATTTACTAATGGTACTATCAATCTCTCCTAAAGAGCATTTCCTAAAATTTGGTCACCATACTTTCTAAACAAATTAGATTCGTCCCAAAAATAAAATGAAAAATTGGAATAAACTATTTTTTTAAGTCAGCTCAAAAGGTATAATATCAATAATAATGTAGTTGACAATATTAGCAGACCATGGTACGCATATCTCATTCATAGAAAATACATATTGATCAATAAAGTTTCATTAAATTTCATTTTCAATTAAATTTTATTATTCTACCACTAGTCTAGAAAAAAAAATTGCTAATTGATTTTCAATGTCTTTTTACGACGAATCTTTAAATTGACGATGACGATCGTTGGATCGAGATCAACAAGCCAAAGAATAACCACACAATCCTTTCATTTTCTCTGGTTTTTTCGTATATAATATATACAACATAATACATGTTATACAATAAAATAAAAATCATGTACGTGTTATGGGATGGTAGGAGTGGAGATATGGCTAAGTTTGGGTTCGAACAACAAGGAAATAATCATAGGAGTGATCATACGAGGTCAATGCAAGGAAGCGAGGGCCTCGAGCTGGAAATGGAATGAAAAAAGGGAAAGGTGAGAGCTTTGGAGGTCATTGTAAGTCAAAATCGAGAGGAAACGAACCTTCTTCGTTGTGTTGTACAAGAAGGAACAAGAAAAAAACTTTTGAGAAAATTGGCTAAATGCCTTTTTTTTTTTTTTTTGCTTTCTTTCCATTAAATAATAATTTGTACAATTTACTTTACGTAACCTAATAATACATACAAATTTGTACAATCTACTTTAGATAACCTAATAATGCATATTCCTAATCTATATATTCAGCTATAAAAAATGAATATGTACAATTAATAAGAGAGGAAAATGAAAAGCAATTTAAATAAGAAAACTCTTAATTTTGTCTGATTTTTATTATTCTCGATTGATATCCCTCCTCAAATTGATGCTGACTGATCAAGAAATATCAATTTGCAAACAAGGAACTGATGACATATTGCTGAGAAAGAGCCTCAGAAAATATATCAACAGTTTGAAGATCAGAAGAGATATTAAGAAGAGAAATAACATCATTATCATAAGCTTCTTGAATAGGATGACAGTCCACTTCAATGTGTTTCATGCGCTCATGAAAGGCAGGATTAGCAGTAATCTACATAGCACTAGTATTATTTGCATAAAGAGAAGTAGACTCAAGTTGAGGAAAGCCAAGCTCAACCAACAAACACCGAAGCCAAATGATCTCAAAACAAGCAAAGGACAAAACACGATATTCAGACTCAGTAGAGACTTAGACACTCGAGTTTGTTTCTTACTCTTCCAAGAAATTAAAGAGTTGTCGAGAAACAAAGACAACCAGTAATAAATTGACGTGTCTCAGAACAACCAGCCCAATCAGCATCACTATAGGTTTTTAAGTGAATCAGAGACTCCACGGAAAAGAATAAACCATGATGAGAAGTACCTTTCAAATACCTAACAATATGTCGAACTGCAGCTAAATAAAGATGTGTAGGTGTCTGCATAAACTGACCAACTTATTGCACAACAAATGAAATATCAAGACTTGTAATGGTTAGATAATTGAGACACCCAACAAGTGGTCGATACACATATGGATCATATAAGAAGTCACCATCATTCCGTTGATATTTAAAATTCACTTCCAAAGGAGTATCAAAAGGACGACCCTTTAGGAGATTAGCCAAAGCAATGAATTCCTTAGTGTAGTTATATTGATGAAGAAAAATATCTGCGGGAGAAGAGTGAACCTCAAAACCTAATAAATGAGTTAAAGAACCCAAATCCTTCATATGAAAAGAACCGGGAAGACACTTCTCCAACTGAGACATCAATTGAGTATCAGATCTTGTGATGACAATATCATCAACATAGACTAATAACGATATAATTTCCTTGTCAGTCTTGCAAAAAAATAATGAAGAATCATATTGACTTTGAATAAAAGAGAAGCTAAGAAGAGAAGCTAAGAAGATAAAAGAGAAGCTAAGAAGAATATTGTGAAACTTTTCAAACCAGACTCGTGAAGCATATTTCAAACTATATAGAGACTGTTTGAAAATATTGTGAAACTTTTCAAACCAGACTCGTGAAGCCTATTTCAAACTATATAGAGACTGTTTGAACTTACAAACATCATGTGAGGGTGTAGAAAACAAGCTTAGAGGAGTCATATAGATATCTTCTTTGAGGTCCCCATGCAAAAATGCATTCTTAACATCCATCTATCATAAGGACCAGCCTCTAAATGCAACAATAGCAATAGAAAAATCAAGCTGAAGTGTTGTTGTTTTAGCCATAGGTGCAAAGGTCTCTTCATAATCAATCTCATTATCTTGTGATTGTCATGAGCTATTAATCTAGCCTTATATCTGTCAAGGGAATCATCAGATCAGATCTTAACAGAATAAACTCATTAACAACCAATGAGTTTAACACCTGCAGAACATGAAACAATATTCCAAGTGTGATTATCTTAAAGTGTCTGAAATTTCTCTTGCATGACCTTTATCCAACAAGTCTGTTTAGCAGTCTGAGAATAAGAGGTAAGAACTGTAGTATTAGTTAAAATTGCAGAATAGTCATTTCTATCCCAAGGAAAAATGTGAGTTGATCTTCGAACAATCATTAGAGCATTTTCAGGAGCAGAGTCGGGAAGGACTGGAGGTGAAGGGAGCAGGTGTCGTGTGTAGACAAGGTCAGGCTTGAACCATTTATCAAAAGAAGAATCATCAAAGTGATGACGTAAAACAGTATCACATGTCGAAAGATGATGCTGAAAATAGTGTTCATATTAAAAGAAAATCGCATCCAGAGAGATACGTCTTTGACTATTAATCAAATTATAGCACATAAAACTTTTATGATTAGAACTGTAACCCATAAAGACACATTGAACAGACCAGGTTGTCAACCTATGATGTTCATGAGCGGATAAAAGAATAAAACAAACACATTTGAAGTATATAGCATATGATAATTAGAATGTTTACCAAAAAATTCGATAGTTGGGAGAATCAAACTTCAATTGTTGAGATGGTAAAAAAAAAATCAGCTGAACTGCAATAGAAAAAATTTCAGTCCAAAACTTAGCTGGGGCAGAATATTCTAATAACAATATGCGCACTATATCTAACAGATGTCGATTTTTCCGTTCGACAACTTCATTTTGTTGAGGTGTATAAGGAAATGAACGTTGTGACACAATACCATTGTTATGAAAAATGCTCGAAACTCATGAGACGTATTCAGCACCATTGTCAAACCGTAATGTTTTAAAACAAGTGGAGAACTGAGTTTAAATACATGTCACCAATGTTTGAAACATAGTAAACAATTATGCTTAGGAATGCATAAAATAAACCCATGCGCGTCGACTGTAATCGTCAATAAATATCAGAAAATATTCATACTGAGCGTGAGAAATAATCGGTGTAATTCCCTAAACATTGCTATGAATAATATCAAAACTTGTATTGGTACTACCCAAAATAGAAAAAGACAATATCTTACTTTTTGCCAGGTTTACAAGAAGAGCAATCAACTAATAAATTTTTATCTGTAGAACCAAAAACACGATTTTGCAACAAATGATTCAAAATAACATTATTTGGAAGACAATCATGTATATCAGACGTCAGCCTTATTTTCAACAATTGAAGAAGCTAATGACAAAGTCCGAGGAATGGTAAATTATAATGGAAGCAACCTGCACACCTTAGGCTCCTTCAATATAACCTTCCCCGACACATCCTGCACAACACAACCACCACGAGAAAATTGTACATCACAATTATCATCCACCATTTGACCAACAGAAAGTAAGTTAGTAGATAATTTAGGAGAAACCAATACATGTCAGAAGGAAGAGCTAATATCACCAACTATCGTAATTGGAATATTATTTCTATCAACAACCTAAATACGTAGAGTACCAGTAGACGGGCATTGATTATGCAATAAATCAGTAGTGTCAGTTATATGATTTGTGGTGTCGGAATCAACAAACCAAGGAGAATGTACAAAAGCAATAGTCTTACGTTTCCCTTGAAAACCAAGAGCGGAAAAGGCTGAGAGAATCATCTGTTGAACCATATCTAGTGTGAGAACATATGGATTATTGCCAACAATTGTGGATATCGAACCAAGATTGTGAGTTGGATGACACAACATGAAAGGCTTAATGTCTGCGATTTTGAGGCCGCATAGGACACTCCTTAATAATATGTTTGTTTTATTTGCAATAATTACAGAGCTTCTTACTACAATGGTGGGCAATATGACCAAATTCATTATTGTTGTAACACTATTTTGTTCCTTTCCCTTTGGTATGAGCAGCATATGCAACATTAACTATTTTAGATGATCCACCAGTTGCACCGAGAGGCTTTTGTCACTAATTTTTGTTCTTCGCGCAGTAATTCACCAAAACATACATCCAAACAATGGATCATATCTCTATTCAGCAACTCAGTCTGAGCAGTTACAAATTCAGGTATGAGTTTCATCAAAAATTGAACACGACGACTCACTTCATGAATGGCCAAAAAACTAACTAAATTTTCCTTTGACAACTTAGCATAGATAATATCAGAATATTCGCTCCATAAATTAAGAAAGCTAAAATAATATTGTTCAATTGAGAGATTACCTTGACTATAATTACTCACATAAAATTCCAATTGAAAGCGTCATGAAATATTATCTTGATTGTAGACGTGCTTCAAGTATTTCAACATTCCCTTAGTTGTACTAAAGGATCGTAAATTGTTCACCATATCAACCTTAATAGACCCCAAAATCCATGAAACAATCCAAGCATCCTTTGCCTCCCACTGACAAAGATCATTCAACTCTGTAGGTGTCGGATAAGATCCATCAATATGGTCCCAAAGCTCCATCCCTTTCAAAAACATCTTGAAATGAAATTCCCATACAACATAATTCTTTCCCGTAAATCTAACAGCTAAGATTTCATTGGTTTTCTCATAAGACATTCTAGATAGAAGAGTCATAAGGAAAGTGGTAGATTGAAATTAATCAACCTAAAACCAAAGAAAATCAAGAGAGACCCTGTGAAAATTGACAAAAACCAAAGAAAATCAAGAGAGACCCTGTGAAAATTGGCGACAACTCCCCCGTGGAAAGGCTTGAACACAGGGAGCTTGTGAGTCCCAAGGAACGTGTAAGATCGGCACCGGTGCTCCTCTAAGCTCGAGCATGACTTTGGTGCAGAAAAACAGTTGAAAGAAAAGGAAGGGGAAAGCTCGTGCTTGTGAGGGAAAAGAAGATCAAGCAGCGTGTGAACATTGGGAGGTTCGATCGCACTACTTAGGAGGCACGGTAGAGGGAAAGGATTGATTCTAGCGTCTATTTTGTGATCGGCGAAGGTAGAGCAGCACTTCGGAGGAGAGCGCGATCTTCTATGATTGGGAACGAGAAAAAGGCTCGGGATTACACGGGGTCTACAAGGGAGGTGCGAACAGATAGGGTTGAGGCTTCGTGGATTGTGTAAAGAAGAAAGCAAAGGAGGGATTGATGCGAAAGGAAAGACAGGCTGGAAACATTTTGATCTGACAAGGATTGAACATCCGAGATCGCCAAACCAAAAACAAACCAGCAATTCCAAGAATAAAAAGAAAACTACACATTCAACAACGTATTCAGTTGTGTGGCTCTGATACCATAACAACTTTTGAGAAAACTGGTTGAATGTCTTCTTCCTTTGTGGTCATTCCATTAAATAATAATTTGTACAATCTATTTTAGGCAACCTAATAATACATAATAATTTGTACAATCTATTTTAGATAGTCTAATAATACATATTCCTAATCTAAATATTCAGCTATAAGAAATGAATATGCATAATTAGTAAGAGAGGAAAATCAGGGGCAAATTAAACAAGGAAACTCTTAATTCTTGCTGATTTCTGTCATTCTTGATTGATACAAGAGTTTTTGAAGCCTTTGTAAAAGACGATCCTATCATTGCTATTCCAGTTAACACTAGCCACGACTTTGGGCTAGTGTCATGTATACACTGAAGGAAAATAGGAGTGTCAAATATCCTCATATGTAGAGAGCGTGTCATTGGTTTCTTGCCGAGCTTTAATCACAACTGTGTTGTGCCTAGGTGTTGTGGGAATGGAGAGGCGATAGGATTCCAGCTCCAGTGGTTCTTATTTCGACGTGTAGAGTAGAGGGGAAGCAAGGAGTTTCAAAGATCTTCATACCAAATGATCTCATCGTTGCCCTTCCCTCTTGCTCTAGCCACAATTGTACAGTAAGTATTTCAATCACAAGAGAGCGAAAGGCAAGCCAAAGTTTCTGAAGGTCTTCATACAACGCGATTCTATTGCATCTCTTCCATGAAGTGTGTGCATTTTGCATTAATAATAAAACAAAAAAGTTACAAAACGTTTCCACACAAACAAAAAACTATGCCACTTGGACATTCACAAAATAAGCACTATCCTCTTGTAAAATTAAAAAAAGACGATCTTGAGTGTTTAAATGACGTAAAATAAAATCACCCTCTAAAGCTATTTTTGCACAAGTATGGGCTGCTTTGTTGTTTACTGTATTGGTATGTTTGAACAAAACTTATTTAAATCTAGGCAAAAAACCAATATTTGGATTGTCAGGAAAGTCGTGTTGCCACGCCCTCTTTTCCATTGTGTGTCAAAAGTGCTCCATAACATTGTAATTATCCCCTTCGATGATGATTCCCAAGCATTCAAACATCCAATGAAGTATGAGTGAATGGAGAGATAGTACCGCTGCAATCTCCACTTGGGTGCTATCTCAATGTATAAAGTTGCAACCCTTGGCAACAATGAGTCTTCCCATACAGACAGGAAATTTCTAATAGCAACTATAATATCATCAAAAAAATATTTCTGCTTCCTCCCTTTAAACAAAGGAGTGCCAAGATACTTTAAGGGAAAGGATAAAATATAAAAAACAGTCTTACCTCTGATATGATTACAAGCACTAATAGTTGAGGCTTTAGCAAGTAAAAACCCACTTTTCGTACAGCTTATAGAGAGACCACTAATGTTCTCAAAATCATTTAAGGCGATGTTCTCAAAATCATTTAAGAATTTGGATATAATAGAAATAGATTTGATATAACCATCCGTAAAGATAATGAAATCATCTGCAATGCTAAGATGAGTAGTATTAAAGCCCCATTTATTTTTAAAATGAAAAAAAGAAGTGCTAAAAAGGTTATTGAGGCCCGTATAAAGATATTCATTAGCAATAATAAATAAAGTAGGTGACAGAGTATCATCAAGTCATTATTCGATTTGAAAAAACCTTTATATTTACCATTAATAATAATAAATCAATTATAATAATACAATGTTTAATAAATTGAAGCAGGTATTAATAAGTCCCATGAAGCATTTGATAGAGAAAATCACAACTAAGATTCCCATAAGAATTTGGATATATCCAATTTAATAATTATATTATGACCACAGATTTTTATCCAAGTCATAAATAAACTCTTAAGCAAGTAAAAATTATCAATTTTACTCTTGGAACTTTCCCTTGTTGAATAATTTTATCTTGCATCTATAATTCACAATATTTCTTAAATATTTTTAGATTGAAAATTTAAAGATCAGATACATTTCAAGATTTCTAACTCAGGAGATTTTTATGCTAAGTTATGAAATCTTATAGAGAGAACAAAACTGCTAAAAAAGTTTACAAGATTATTTGGGATAATGTTAAAATTGTTTACACAAGTGGTAAATGAATGGAAAGGTTAAGTGATTCCAAGCGGAACCATAATAGTTTAAATCACTCCATGGGACATATGGATAAAAACTAAAAATTGATCACCATTCCCTTCAGTTGATTCTAGACAGTTATTAGGGCAACATAATCATAAACATGCATTGTTAAAAAAAAAACTACTAAATAAACCTGGCCTCAGGCTGATCTATATTTCCAAATCCCCGTGCTTTAACAACATCCATGACCATGTCAAGCTGGACAATACCAATAGCACCATCTACAATTGCATTTCCACCTCTGATAACCTTCTTCCCACCAATGCTGATAAGCTTAACAACCTTGGCATCCCCTGGCTGGAAATTAAATGTTAGGTAATCATTCTAGATTCCTAAACGTACGTTATTTTGTATGCAACTGCGAGCTCAGGAACAAGACAAGGTTTAACATGATTTCTTAATCTGATTAGCAATTCTATGTGGGCATAAGATAAGATCAACTTTTTGAACCAACACCTTGAATTATTATCACGTCCTAACAAGAAATATCAGTCAAAAAGCTAACATAATTTTGAGCCAGTTAGTTTCAACATGTTCAGCTCTAAATCATATTATTTTTCAGTCAAGAACCACTTAATTTGGTTATCATTCCATTACCCATCTTGACATGAAAACTAGATTTTATTTAGCCTAAACATTTAATCCTACAACTCTACTGGTTCGTCTTATCCATGCTCACACCATACCAGTTATGCAAGAGTTTTGTGTTCTAGTTTACCAAAAAGACTCAAATCGTTAGATCTATCAGATTGTGAAACCATGAAACTGTCGGCCAATAAACCGACTTAATCAATAGTTTAAGAAAATTCATAAGTTAATAATATTAAGAACGTGTTTCATTTATCCAAATTCAAAAATGTTTGACACAACAAAGCACTCCAGCAATCACATCAAATTCAATGTCAATAAACACCAACACAAATATTTATGCCGTCGTTTCATAATGAATTTCCTCAAACAATCAAAGAAAATATGACATAATATTGTAACAAGTTACAAAAATCGCTAATTTCACAATAAATTGTTAGAATGCATTAAGAAACATATCATCAATATTGGAAAAAAAAGTGTCAACCAAGCTGAAAATGTACTTTTGAACAACATAGAAGTTATGAAAAATGAACTGCACCAAGCTCTTCATAGGACGCAGGCACAGATCTGTCATTTTTAGGGAAATAAAACACAAAGATACTTAAAAGACAGTGCTGCATGATACAGGAGTTAACCCAAAATAGCGACAGGGATGCAAATATTATTGCTAAAAAATCAAAAGGATTACAATAACGACTCTTAAAACAGGAGCAAAATGACGACAAACGCCAACGACTCCTAAAGGGACGACGATAGAGTGGTGTGCTGCGGCTGGACAGCACATAGGTCGGCTGGTTGGGGATGAGGCGGCAAACAGTAGAGGGTTGGAGAGGTTACGACAACACTAGGAAGGCTCGAGGGGACTGGCAGCAGCAAACAACAAGGCTAATGGAGTTGGCGGCAGCATGCAGGAAGGCTGGCAAGGTTTGGTGGCAGCGAGTAGGAAGGTGGAAGGGCCTTGCAACACAAGGGGGAAGACGTCGACTGCAGAAAATATTTAGTAAAAACTGAATCATAATGACATAAAATTACATATATATACATATATATATATATATATATAACGTCCTCGTGGGAGACGCCGAAGAGAAGGGAAGAAGCCGATAGATTCACTGTCGGTTATCGTCACGGGCGAAACCCC